CTCTTCAAAGCTATTAAACAGGCACCTGCAACCCTGGCTCCCGGTGTTTGGTGGTGACCTGAGGAAGGAAGCAGGCTGGACGTTAGCACAGGGATGGCTAAAGGTACCATACGCAAGAAAGCTGGTGAGAAACTTAACATTTCTTGCCCTCAGGTGTTCCATTTGCTTGGATGGTGAGGTTTGGGATAGAGGCCTACGGTCAGTTCAAACGCAAGGCCAAGTAGTAAGTAAGCAATTGAGAAACCAAAGGTCAAATGGAAAAAAAATGAGTCTTCTGATACTGAGATGATAATCACCATTTATGAGATGATTATTGTCATTTATTTTCAGTAAACATTGGACTCTTTCTGGTTTCTGAAATTTTAAGCAGATTACAAGTGCAGCCTTGAGGTCTAGAAGTCCTGCTTAAACCGAGATCATCCTGTAACATCCCAAAATCTTGGCTTTTACTAAGCCAATGTTAAGGCTGAAATACTACAAGAATATTACAAGTTACTGAAATATTACAAGTTACTGAGCCTCCAAACTCAAATTGATTTTCCTCTAACCAGTTCTTCCTACAAAGTTTAATTTTGCCTTTGAACCTTCCCGGTAATGTGGGATTTCCCATGTGTGACTGCATAGATGTCTGTCTGTCTGTCTGTAAAGGGCAGCGCAAGGCCTGTGTCAGCACAACGGCACTTTTTGAGGCGCTCGGAATGCCTGGCTTCCTTTGTTTGACCGTTTTCTGTTGCTCCTGTCAGTTAACCATCAGAAGTAATTAAGATCTTTAAGTTAACGTGGGTCATACCTATCGCTTCAGCAGGCTGCCAGGTACATTTGAAATCTCATGTTCCCCTCCCACACAAATGCTTATGTAAAAAAAAAAAAAAAAAAAAGGTAGTAAGCGCTGGGCGGACTTGCATTGCTGTTTTCATACGGTAGTATTTTCACCAGCTTTGCAGGTACCTCAAACAAACCTTGCGTTAGGCTGAAGAGGCTTGCCAAAAGTTAGGAGTGTCCTCCTGAAGCACAGACTCATGTAGAACTTGACGCTCTACACTGGCAGTTCATTGCAGAGCATGTTTCAGTGTTCCAGAAAGACTAACCTTGAATCTACAAAACACTAAACCATTTCTTTTACGTTATGTTTGCTGATTGTGCTCTCTTTTCACCTGACCTTTTTGCCTGTGACCGACAAAGGCACACTCAGAACTACGAGAAGAAAGTTGCCCAGCAGCTTACAGATTGCAAGCTATCGCTGTTTTTATTTTTTCCAATCCTTATTGTTTCATGAAAAGGCTGTGCAACAGCACAGTTTGTAAGCGACTGAGCAAAAGGTTCATTGATAATAGGAATATTTCCTCTGTAGTTTGGACAGCGTGTGCCACCCATGAGTAAATGTCAGTAAGATTAGGGAAGTCCTACATGCTTCTTTCTGTATCAATTGCAAGTTGCACAATACACATTGTCTCTGATGACAGCAGATTTACGTGGCCAGAATAGGACACACTGAGTTGTACAGCCATGCGTCATGGTATATTGGTGACCAACATGAAGAGTGTTTAGGACTCTGGTCTTACAAAAGTTTAGGTTTAGCTATAGCCAGACCTTTTCTGTTGATTGTGCAACTGGCTCTCAAACTACTGTCCCATTATGGTTTAATTTTGACTTCATACTGTTTTTAATTTCATACTGTTTTCCTATGGCTTGGGTTAAGCCTTCTTTTATCTTGTGCCTTTCTTCCTGAAGAATGCATTTAACAAGCATTCTTGGGAAGAAGCCTGCTAAAAGCATTACCGTACTCAGGCTGGACTTCCCATCAAATGACACTCATTCAGTAATTGTAAGCTCATTTTTTGCATCTGACAATGCTTCACGCACTATTTTCTACCGTATTATTTTCAGTAGCTAATAGTTAACTTCATGCCTGACAGTTATTCATTAACCTACTCGAATTAGAGGGGGGATCCTGGCCTTTCTCATTCAAATCCAATAGATTAAAGATGTCGGTGTATGCAGGAAAAAGAGCCTGATAATCCAAATTACTTCTTTCAGGACTCTTTTACACACCAACACCACAGCTGCCCAGGGACTGATCCACGTTCTCAGCAGAGCGCATGCGCAGCATTACTTTGAATTGGTGTTGGCCCTCAGCTGTTTCCTTGGTCTGAAGTAGAGGCATGCTTCATGCTGCCCAGAGGCAAAAGTCAATGTATTGTCTGCCTACACAAGCTTCAAATTGTTGAAGACAATCTCTGTTTTCCCTTGGACAAGATCCCATCAGAAACAATGGACCAAGCTCTCTTGTTGTTTACAGCTTAGCTATTATACACAGAGCACAGATCTGAACATCAGCCAGTTTAGGAAGAGTAATGCTTAGCTTCCTCATATGACAGTTGGAGAGGACAATTTAAGTGTGCAAAAATAATCAGAGCTTCTTTGATTAATGTTTCTGTATATAGACACAGAAGATGATTGAGTCAGAGAACTGGTGGACCTAGATGCAGAAAAATCCACCAAGACTCTGCACACACCTCAGTATAGTGGCACACACCGTTATGTGCATGTAGGCACATGCATGTATGCATCTGTCTGTCTGTCTGTCTGAGGAAAAGGGAGTCCCAGCCTGCGCCAACGGTAAAGAGTTGTTAGTTTGGGAGCCTGGAGCGGGTTTTTAAGAGGGCATGACACATGGTTACAGCAAGTTTGTGCTGACAGGGCCATGTGTAGCACCACGCAGCAAAGAGCGTTTGACATTGGCAAAGACTTTGCATAGGGTAAGGCCTAGGGTATGCTATTAAAAAAAGCAAAAGTTTCCATGACTCTTACACCCACTTTAATATCAGTCATATTGACTGACCTGTGCCCTTCTGTGCATGATCATTCCAAATGGTGGCAGTGATCTTACTGTGGAGTGAAAACATGACTTTTAAACAGATGCTGGACAATATTTGCACAAAGTAAATTCTGACTTTGTAAAAACAGAAGCTCAGAGCAAAAAATGAGCATGTGACTTAGTCACCCAGCTAGACCTTCACCGAGAGGGCTCCCTTGATGTGAGCGCAGATCTTGCTGTAGTTGGACAAGCCAGAATATTCGGGAATAGACAACGTTTCATTTATCACCTGTAGAAATGGTTCCCCTCTAACTTTAAAATGCGTGCTTTTTGCCATGCTAGTTTGATGGTTAGAATAATAACAAATTTGACTTAAAAAGCAACAGTTGTTCCAAATCCAGTGATCAAGACAGAGCTGAATATGCCTCGAATATTAGGTCAACAAAAATACAGTAAACTTTTTTCAAAGCTCAAAGTCCTGTAAATAAGATAAACTGTGCATCCAGTCAAATATTTGTTATGGAGAACTTCCATTCCACCCACAAACTTCAGTGTAATTCAGCTCACAGACTTTATGTAAACACAAAGGCAACCCTAAACTTGGCACCAAGGTTGATCATGTGTCTGGAAATTTGACACTGATCTCAACTGTGAGTTTTGAAAGACGTTTACTAAAAACATCTGGGCTCCACTTGTTCTGAAAGATATCCTAAAAATGGAATCGCGATTAACTGCAACCTCCTTCTCTGCCTCCTTGGGCAAAACTTTGTGCAAATTTTTCAGTCATTTCTTTTAGGTGCCCAAATTTCTACATGTGGGAAACCAAGGATTTAGGCAACAGGTTTTTACTGGGTACTTACGGCACAGAATGCAAATGACCGGGTTACGCAGTACTGCTAGTTCCTGGAAAAACAGTCCTGAGACAGAAAGACAAAGGATATTTGAAGTTAGTCTAGGAAATTTCCTTCAGAGAAAACAACACTAAGCTGTTCTGCTATAGGGAAAAAGTCCCCAAAACAAAATAATCTGTAACAGTCTGTACTACAGGGTTTTGTAGACAAGTAATATAAAACCCATTTTAGACAGACAAACATTTTCTAAGTTGTTACAGAGTTTTTTTTCCTCTCTCTGGAATGTTTTTCAGTCAGTCTAAACAAAATGCCCTAGGAAATTACAATTCTCTAATTTTCTTGGAATACTCTTTTAATTAGATTTTTCTTTTTTTGGCATGCTTCTAAAAACGTGCTTGGAGGCAAGAGAGCGAGGAAAAGTAGTGTTAATAATACAGTAATTCTGTCTGCCTGGCATCCCCAGAAGCAGAATTTGGTGAATTTACTAGCATGCATCAGCCCCATTTAACCTAATTTCAAGCCTAACTCCACTATCGGTGATTGAAAAGTTCTAGCTCTGATCCCAGTGTCAGCCTGTGCACTAAGTGGACATACTGTAGCTTTCACAAGACAGATTTGGCAAGTTGCAAAAGCCAAAATTAGTTTAATGTTGACATTCGACCACAGGCCACAATCCACAGCATTTGCTATACTGTCATCATCCTCTTGTAGCGTGATCCACTTTTTTACCCTCTCAGATTTACAAAGTCTTAAAAACAAGGGGTGGAGGGTGGGTATCATTCTTGTTCCCTATTTCTGTTGTACTTAACTTTTTCCTCAAATACCAAACAGCTGGGAAAAAAAAAAAAAAGCACTTACAAATAGAACCACCCAGCTAAAGTCAACAACCATAGGGAACTTTCTCAATACACCAGAAATCACCTCCTTCCTGTCATGAATTCCCCTGCAAAACACCATGTATTGAAGCCTCCATGAATGATCAGGCAGCTTTCATTCCGTGTAAGACACACAGGCGAAATGTCCTATTTTAAAGATAAGGTTTCATTTGGGAATCTGTCAAAGAGACAAAGTTCAAACAGATGTCTGTCCCCTCTGTTCCTCAGGCTGTCAGCTGAGGCCATCAGTTAATTTTGTGAGGATGCACAACAGCATGTCTTGGGCACACACGCTGGAGTTGGCACGCTAACAGCACTACGCCTGGCCCCACGTGTGACATAGGGAGCCCACCTGCTCCCAGAACAGTGCCATAGCGCCGTAGAGTTATCAAGCAGAAATAAGTGGTGGCACTGCCTTTGGTCAGCGAGAAAGAGAGTCTGGTGGGGGAAGTAAGGCAGCAATACAGCAGATCTGAGGTGGAACCATGCAGCTCTTTCAAAGCTTCCCTGTCCCATGACTGTGCTCATAAACCAGGCTATCCATCTGCCAATGCATGCTCATATTTGTAATTATTACTCATCCCCGAGATGCCATCTTGACAGTTTGTGTAGCATCAAGTTTGAACAGACATTATATAGCATTAAGAGTAGGTGGTGTTTGCTTTTATATTTAGCCACCCAAAAAGGGGCAGGCAAATTCTTTCAAGCATGATGAGAAGAAACAAGCTTTTACAGGGAACTGGCAGTTAAAAGACCAGCTTAAAGAACATGCAACAGCCCGATAAAGCACCAGCTCCACCACAAAAAACAAGCAGCGGCCCATGTCATGATCTCTCCCAGGCAGGACACGCTGATGGGGGGGGGCATCTCCCAACTGCTGCTGTTGAGAAGTTCTCTCCAGGAACTCATTTCATGGCTTATTTAAAGGAAGTGAGAGATTAGATCGTCTTAGTGGCTTAGAGGAACTGGAGGGATTTTCTCTGTTGAGGTGAGGCATAGGTTGGTGAGGGCAAGCAGAAAGCAGAGGGTTCTGAGAGTGTGGGAAAAGGTGGTTCCTGCTATGCTGTACAGGGACGTTGAAAACACCCATGCTGTTTATGCAGCTGAGATGCAACCACAATTCCGCATGCTCCACACACACACACACTTGCACACCTTTCCTGCTGAGTGTTATTTTCTCCTAAGCCATGTCTAGCCCGTCACCATCAAGGTTAAAATATTTAAAAGCAGTTCAAGGGACTCAAGTTGGATCTGCTCCTACATGTGCTACGTGTGGAGCAGCCAGCTAGTGTTGAAGTGTGGAGGATTTGCCCACACATATCTCCTTCCACAAGCCAGCAGCAGCTGGTGGGTAAGGGATCCACTGCTGCTTTCCCTGTGCCATAACTGTTTCTGGCCTCACGTGCTGAACAAACTGGGCAAAAGGATGGCAGGGACCTTAGAACCTGCTTCTACGGTTTCCAACTTATTCTAACACAGCTTTTGTGGGGAAAAAAAAGCAATGGAACTGGACAGAGAGAGAAATAAAATGGGGAAAATACATCAGCAGGCTCTATTCAGGCAAGACCTGACCTTGATATTAATACATAGGATCAGATCTGAGGACCACGTATAATTCGTCATCTTCAACTCAGCAGATGTTGGACCTTGCCCACAGACGGCAACACTTCAGCAACCACTACAACAGTTGCAGAACAGGCCACCTGCTCCACGCAGCCAGCTGGATTACACCGAAGGGCAGCTACAGGGGTATGCGTTGCTATAGAAAGGAGTACACAAACTCCTCGGCGATCACATCTGCCTGTTTCAGACTGTAGCACTAGCTGCGTTGGCAGATGCTCCGCTGAACAGATTAGGAAGAATCACTAAACCCAGGCAGACCACTAGCCTCTTAAACTGTGGGCATCAGCTAACGTTGCCCTGTGTATTTGGTCAGCATGATGGAAAGATACTCCCACTAAAAGCTGTTATTATCAGTCTCGTGTGGTAGCAAACGATGGCAGTCTGCAAAGCTCTCAGACTTTTCTAGGATAGCAGCTTTACTTCAGGTTTAAGACAGGCGGAGGAATGCTCTGGCTGGCCTAAGGAATCACTCCCTCCCCTCAGTTGCTCTATGTTATGAGTAGACTTGCTCAGTCGTGCATGGCCACACTGCCCAAAACCTCTCTCAATAGGCAGCGATGACCAAGACTGAAACCAGTCAAATCAGGAACTTTCCAGTCTGACGAGAAAAAGAAAAGATTTCCGCTCCACACTTTAGCACAGGCTGGACTCCTTGCCTTTTGTTTGATGCTCTTGGTTGCTTCTGAAAGCTATTGTGAAGGGATACAACCCACAGGACAGCAGCTCAGAGTAAAGCTACACCTTGCAGCTGAAACATTCACACAGCTTGAGGCTGTCAGAAAGGGGAGACTGCATTCCTCACACAAACATACACACCCCCACACACCTTATCTGCCTCTTTTCCCTGTCTCCAGCAACCCTGCTTACCCCACACTAGTTCATCAGGGTCTCTACAGGCCAGTTCAGCTCATGAACCTCAAAGAGAACAGAAGAGGAACCATTTTTGGCCAGTTTCTAGGGTTGGCTTGGCCAGTGGCTGGATGTAACAAGCTCCAGAGTCAGGTGTGGGGTGGGAAGACAGCAGGTTGTTTGATCAGCTCAAGCATTCAGGTTATGCCTTTATACTGAGGTGGATAAGGGGTGCTGGCCAAGCTCTGGAGCAATGAGAATCAGAAGGGGGTGGGGGGGCAGACAGAAGTGCAGTTGCTTCAAATGCCACAGCCAGATCCTTGAGAGCTAGTATACACCCTTCCTGAAAGCAGAAGGTGCCTCCTCACACCTGCTGTGGCCAAGCCATTTGTTCTCAAAACTGCATGGGCTATAAATCCTGTGCCTAATTTGGTCCATGTAACTTCCTGTTTAGACAAACCATCAGAATTTCTGCTGTCTGTCATGATCCCACTAGAACACCTCCGCACATCACAGAATCACAGAATTTTTGGAGTTGGAAGGGACCTCTAGAGATCATCTAGTCCAACTCCCCTGCTAAAGCAGGATTGCCCAGAGCACATTACTCAGGACTGCATCCAGGCGGGTTTTGAAAATCTCCAGAGAAGGGGACTCCCCCCCCTCCCTGGGCAGCCTGTGCCACTGTTCTGTCGGCCTAACTGTAAAGAAGTTTTTCCGTGTGTTGGAATGGAACTTCCCATGTTCCAACTGGCACCCATTGCCCCTCGTCCTGTCACTGGGAACCACCGAGAAGAGTCTGGCTCCATCCCCCTTCAAGCCACCCTTTAGATATTTGTAAGTAATAACAAGGTCTCCCCTCAGCCTTCTCTTCTCCAGGCTAAAGAGTCCCAGCTCTCTCAGCCTTTCCTCATAAGGGAGATTGAATGAAATTAAAGTTTCCAGTGTGTGTGTGTGCAAGCCAAGACAGAAAAAAAGCAACAACAAAACATGAGGCAACCGCAGCCTTTCTCACAGGGGTCAGTCGGTGCAGGGCTGTGATACTCTCTAATGGCAGCGAGGCACTGAGTGCGCTGTGGTAGCAGGGTTAGGACCGTCAGTGTTGCAGGGCAGATGGAGATGAGACACACCAAGGAGATGGCTCACAGATGGCCATTCCTCAGACAGGGACTTGTCCTGAAACGGCAAAGGCTGAACACCTCAAATTTGGCCAAGATGCCAGAACATCAAGAAGCAGGGAAGATGTTAAATCAGGCCCCAAAAGGGAAGCGGCTGTAATGAGTTCTCTTACAAAGCATTTCTCCAGTCAGGAGGTGCAGATTGAGCAACAGGCTGACATCAGCTAAAATAACAGGATGGTGGAGGGAGTGGCTCAGATGCTAAACCATGCGGATGTTACTTACGTCACCATGTAAAACATAATTTCTGATTGGGAAGAAAAATAAGCCAGAATTGCAGCATTGTTACTTAATCCAGGAAACTTTGTTGATAAAGTTCAGCTGTGTGAACTGGCTCAGCATGACCACACAAAAAAGCTACCAGCCTTTTACTGGAAATCGTGACTCCATCCCTTGCCACAGCGAGGCTCAACTAACAGTGAAGACCGCCTGATAGAGGCAATTCCTACTTCTTTCCATATCCCTACAGCCTCACTACAGCAGAGCTTCCCTGGAGAAGACACCGTGTGAAGTCCAGGTCCTTGCCCAGCAAGGAGTATGCACCCAGCCCTGGCTCACTCATTGTCCCGAGTGCGTCACCTTCGGAAGCAAGGGTCAAACGGATTTGCCATCAGACCTCGTGCTTATTTAACTCCCACTCCTATCACACTCCTATTTGATCAGTCAGTTCAGATCTGCAGACAAGGAAAAGACTGTCTCACAGCCCTGTTAAAAAACAATTTTGCATCTAAGATACCCCATGAGCCAGAACTGCCCGCGTATACTTTGCCCGCAATTATGACTGGTCCAAAAAGTAGACAAGTGGTATTTACTGATCCTGCTGTTGAACCATAGAGTAGCATTAGGGCAGCACATGAGTCCCTGCAAGATCTCCACCATTTCTCTAGCTTCTTTATTTGCCCAGAAGCTCACTTGTTAAGAAAAGCCTGTGTTTACTCTCTACTTTCTTCATCTTTTCGTATACTTTGGAGTCACTAGGGTCTGCCTCCCTCCCCGTAAATGTGACATTTCCAGATGAACAGGGTGGACCACAGTTGTCAGCCTAGTAAAGGAAAGAACACCCACTTCCAGTGTTTTCTATTAAAAACCCTTCTCCTTTGCATCATCAGCTTAGTCCGCCCTGCAAGGCCCTGCGTCATCACAAACTGCCCCCAGGTGGGAAGGGTTCAATACCTTCTTGCTCTGTTCTAGAGGCCAGAAAAGCAGCTGGATCCAGAAAGCAGCTCAGTACAGGAGAGAGGAGTACTTCCTAAACTACCTCAACCTAAACTGGCCCACAATCACATCACAGCAACACAACTGCGCGGAGGCCTACAATAACCAAGCTGACAACCTGAGAACACAGCTGGAAATTGAAGAGACTGAAAACGAAGGAGGAAGGGAAACTCTCTTGTTTCTACAACCATGTCCAGCCTGAGAAACACCAGAGACTGAGAAACGGGAAGAGAAAGCGACACCATCATTACTTTAGATCAACTGGAAACTTTCTCTTGTACTAAGTTCTTCAGAAGTGCCTTCTTCCAGAAACAACATAGGAGGCAGCTCTAGCCCTTTCCCCACATCACCCCCGACCATAATCAGCCAGACCTTTTTTTGTCTCTGTCAGTTTCTGCTTTGCTCTTAGGTGGGAGTATCAGGATTGAGCAACGCCACCACACAAAGCAAGCAAGCCCTAAGGGCTAGGAACTGGGAAGCAGATAGAATCTCTTCCTCACCAGCATGTGACCTTTATTGATTTTCTTTCTTGAGAATGAGATAGCATTTCATTTTCAGGCAACGTGTTTCGCCTGATGTCTGCAGTAACCAACAAAGAAAGGCACTATTCATTTGCCAAGAGCAAATTTTAAAAAGCATCTTTTTTCACCTTCGAAAACTAGCAGATTGTCCTTGCGTTATACCGCAAGTCAGGGGATACGTGAAAGGTTACAGCATTGGCCTTTAATTTCAGAGTTCAGTTGTCTTGCGAAGAATGCTGTCCTTTACCACTCTTTCTAGGAAGATTTCAGAAACTTTGTTAACATTTCCATCTTGCTTACAGCACCAGGATTACAGTCAACAGCTCGCACACTGAGAAGTTGGTCAGGACTCCCAGTACCCCTCCCTCCTCCCATTTCAACCCCTTCCCCCCAAAACACAGAGAATTTAGGGGAAGGAGGAAGGACAACAGGAAGCTGCCAACTGCCAGCGGTGCCTTCCAGCATCATGACCATTTGCACAGCTAACACACCTGCCTAATCCTGTCATCGTAAAGCAAGAAAGCTCATTTTCCTATAAGTACTTTCCACTTCGTTGCTCTTCATATACATTAGCTCTGCTTCCTCACGCTGTACACCTCTGTCATAACTCATCCAAGTCTTCTTTCCCGTAGCAGAACCAATCTTGAGTGACAGTTCCACCTCATCCGACCGCCTAAGGCCGGCTCTAACCTCAGGGCATCTCCCCGCTCTCAAGGCTACGCCAGCCTGTCACCTAGAGCTCCACTAGCCCGCCGCGACCTCCACTAGCCATTACAGCCAGCGAGCGCGCTTGGCCAGTCTGTGGGGCCAAAGCCTGCCACCAAACGCTCGGGTGGCCAGGTAAATACGGTCCCTTTGCAGCGGGCCACCCCGGTGAGCAGAGGGGTGTTCCCTCAACTCCTCACACACACTTACGCTGTGGCACGCTCCCTCCTTCTGCAGGCTCGACCCCAGGTTTCCTGCAGCAGCGTCATAGGCGTTGGATTTTATAAAAATAAGCGATTTAATTGGAAGGTACAGCAGCAGGGTCAGCCCGGGGTGGGTGCTGCCGAAAAGGGAGGGACCTCAAACAAAGAAACCCCTGGGCAATTATACCCCTGCGAGCTCTACACCCGCCCCTCACGCTCTTCACGCCTCTTTTAATCCAGTGGTGATTTTTGGTCTGGGATCTTATCTTGACCCCCCTTTTTCTTGGGGATTTGCTGTCTCGCAGGGTTGTAGCCTCCTTATCTCCTGGTTTATATTTCTCATGCGCCTGCGCTCCACAGCCAAACATGGGGAACTGAAAAGTCCCAGACTTAGGGAAAACACTGCCAAAACATGTGTGTTATCCACATTTTTTCTTATACTAAAAGACTAAAGACAGCACTGTACCAGCTGCTAGGAAAATTACTACGAAAATTAACTCTTATCGCAGCCTAAAGGCTGCAACAAATACTCGTGCTCAGTACAGCCGAGCAAACAGCACAAACCACACCGTACTACAACCCCAAGTAATTTATTCTAATTAAAACTTACTTATTTAGGCTAAATAACTAATCTCTCTCAACATCAACCAGAAGCCAGCAGCCCCCCGACGGGCATCCCCTCACCCGGCAGGGCCGGGAGCGAGAGAGGCCGGGCCGGGCAAGTGGGAACCACCCCGGCACCGGGCCCTCTCCCACCCCGGCGGCACCGGGCTCCGTTACCAGCCCAGCCACCGGGCCCGGCCCGCCCCAGCCTCCCTCCAGGCAACACCAGCGTAGCGCGGC